GTATAGTATATAAATTTTAAGTATGTATAAACATATAAATATGACCTGCTCAGCCTATACAATGTTACCTGTATGTATATGGTTTTAGTGCAGAACTTTTAATATCAGATAAATAACTGGTCCTAAATGTTGTTTTAAAACAGCATCTAATTTTATTTCCTAGGCTGGTATTAAGTTCATCCCCATTTCTGTCAGTTTAGGCATGTACCATCCTATCTAGCCTTAACAACTACTGTTTTAAATTTATATTGTCAATACGTTTCATTGATGTGTGTGTGTACATATGGGTACATGCATGCCATTGCCAGTGGGTAGAGATAAGAAAACAATCTGAGGGAATTGGTTCTCTCTCTCTACCATGTCTGTTCCAGAGATTAGACTCAAGCCACCAAGCTTGGCAATAGGTGCCCTTTACACATGGGCCCATCTAGTTGCCCCTCCCCCAAACTATTCTTAACACATTATAAAAAAAAAAAAAAGCCCTTCTAGTAGGGGAGAGATGACTCAGAAGTTAAGAACACTTTTTTTCTCTGCTTTTTCAGAGAACCTGTGTTCAGTTCCCAATGCCCACATGCTGGCTTATAATCGTTGTAATTCCAGTTCCAGGAAGTATGATTCCCTGTTCTGACCTGTGTTCACCCCAGCACATGTGTGCATAATACACACATGCTGGCCAAACATGCATACACATAAAATAAATGTAAAGTTTAAAACTTTCTAGTAGGGGCAGGAGAGGTAGTTCAAGCTCCAGAGCATCTGGCACCTCTGTGAGGGCACACACCCAATTAAAAAGTAAAATAAAAATAAAAAAATCCTTCCAATGAGCAATATGCAAATGTTAAATGAGGATATCAATAGCTTTTATATTTTGAAGAAATTTATAACTAGTGTTGGTTCTTTGATTACAATCCTGAAAGATCCAAGCATGCCCTTGTTTTATTATTAAGGTATTGCTAATGGTTCCAAATACCTGATGAGCCTCTGGTCCAGTGGATGGTGGGCGGTGGATCTCCAACAGCCTCACAAGGAAGAAAGGCATCTGAGTTAGTTGGAACAGTAAAGCTTGCAGCCTTTCCTCCAATAATTTTTGGTTTCTTCAATGTAGTCTTAGGTAGAGAATCATAGGGAGGATGCTTGGAAGTTGGGTTTTGAGCAGGTTTCTTATCAACGGCATTCTTTCCTGCATGCTCCTCTGCATTCCAATGTAAGGCATGAGTGCTGGCCTCTGGAAAGCTGAACTGGGGTGACATGCTTATTGCTGGTCTTTTGCCCTTTTCAATGGTTTCTGAATATGATTTGAGCTGGAATTTGTTTTCTGGCCAGGGAGAAAGCTTCCATTTAGAATTCTGTGGTTTATCTACTCTTGGTGCTGGCATAACAGTGGAGGTTAACAGATCAGAGGAGGGAAAGTCAGGGGTTCTAGTTATGATCTCAGGATTGGGGCTAGCCTCCGTTGAGGGTCGCTGCAGATCAGTGTTGTGCCTTGAAGATTCATATATGGGGACCATTCTATTTGATGTCATCTTGAGAACTGATGTGACCTCACTGTCTGTAGCCACACCCTTAGTTAAGGGAGGGGGCAAAGGAGTGGGCACTGGGGGCGGCCCACTGCTGAGGAGTGGTGTTATGGTTGAGGTTCTTTTCACTGTGGTAGTCTCCTGTGATTTGCTCAACAAAGTTGTTTCTGAAGCTGTTGTATTTCCTAAAGTCTGGGTGCACTTCTGGGACAACTCAGTTATGCCGAGGAGAGAAGCTGCTGAGTGATAAGCAAGAGTACTTAAAATTCTACCAGTGTCTTGTAGTGCGGAATGACTGGAAGCCAAGGGAGTATCCGCTGTTGTTGGAGCTGAGTATGTGCTATAGCCAGAAGTCTGCCTGGGGGTGGTGTTTGGATCTTTCCTGTTCTCCTGAGGCCCCTTTATTTGATCTTTTGCTTCTTTGGATCTTGCTTGTTGAGTTTCAGAGATGATGACAGATGCAATAGCAGCAGGAGTTGTCACTGTGGGGATTCCCACTGACAGGAAGCTTAATGCACTGGATCTCTTGCTTATGGTGCTAGGAAGCACGGGGGAGGAGTTGGTGAAGGGCTGCTCCTTCCCTGCTGAGAGACTTCTGGTACCTTGTACTTCAGTGCCATTGTGCTGAATGGCAGCCATTGTTGCAGACAGAGCTGGCATCAGACTTGCCAAGAGAGTTGTAGAATGTGAAGGGGAGCCGTGGTCTGTGGGTAAAAGAGGAGCTCTTTTGGGAAGCTTAGTGGCTCTGTTCTTTTGTAAACCAAATTGATACAGATTCTTTGACATCCCCTCCTTGTTATGGTTATTTACAAAGATCTGGTGCCAGGGAACTTTCCTTTTTGAGAATTTTGTGCTTGTTGCTTTTGTTGGTATTGAGGATTTGCTGAGGTGACTGGAAAGTGGTGTTGTTACCACTGAATCTTTCCCAGCTTGGATGATCCTAGGCATCCTCAGGTGACCACTATTGTCTGTAAGCGTTTTTTCCAGAGATACAGATGTTGGTGCAGAAGTCATGCTTGCTTCAGTGGGAATCAAGTGGGTACTTTCACCTCTGAAATATTTTGTAGTTGTTGTTATTGTCTCAATGTCTACATTTTGTTTGTCCTTAAATAGTAATGATGGTTTCCTGAACACAGTGGTAGACTCTACTGCTATGGCCCCAACATTGTTAGCTTTGGGGAGGGTGCTGTGGGATGAACCTGGAGCTGACAGTGCTGTAGTAGCTACTGTGAGCCTCTCTGTGGAACAGGTTCTGCACATCCTAGGGTACTCTGTGGCTGAAACATGACTCATATTTCTGTTAGCAGGTCCCTTGAATGCTGTCCTGTGTCTATGCCGACGGAGAACTGGGGTTCTATGTGGGCTTATAACTCGCCCTCTGCTCCAGATTGTCCTCTCTCTTCCCGAGTGCCTGGACAAGGGGAAGTTACCTGTACTGTTGTTTCTAGGAATTCTAAATAAAGAAGGGACAGTGGTGTGTGTATCTGAAGGGTGCTTGGAGAAGCTAGGATCTGTAGTATCGTGAGAAAAGGTGTCACTACTGCTAGCTCTGCTGACTCCTGTTATAGGTATCTGAGGTTCATAGCTTTCTGTTGGATTTGTTGATTGCAAGGCTGTACTGGCCTTGTTGGTGAAGCTAGTGGGCATGTTGGTATAGCCATAGGTAGCCATGGTTCCCCCTGCTACGGGGTGTGCACTTTGGGGAGATGTTCTCCCTACTTCAGCAGAATCTTGAATTTCAGCTACTGTTGGAAAGATGATAGTTGGGTTTTGGTTTGTTGTATCTTCTATTTTGCTTGTTACAGGTGGGTTCATACTCTTTGACACAGAGGTACTGTCAATAACATTAAATAATTTGAAATCAGGAAGGTGCTCAGATTGTAGTGTTTGTGGATTCACGGTTGAAGAGATTTCCATGCCAGAAGCTATAGTTGTTACAAAGCCATGATTTACTGGTCTAGAGTCAGCAGATAGTGACCTTTCTGAAACACCAGAAGCCTTAGTTTTCAGAACCATGAATTCTTCATCTGGAGGAATCATGCCGGAGGCATCTCTTTCCTCACCAGTGAGTTCCACAAGTGGAACAGCCAGTGGCACTGGCCTTACTGTGGTATTTTCTTGCTTCCTTGGCACAGAATTCTTTTTTGCCTTTTCTAAAAGTGCTGCCCAGTGTTGGGGGTCAATTCTCCGAGCAGAGAGAGGGCGCTGCCTCCTATGCTCCCTGAATCTCCGGAGTGTGGAATCCCCACGCCGCCGATGTATTAAGTCTCTATGTTTGTTTTTCTTACGTATACCAGAGACTTGTTTTCCAGCCTGTGTCCCTGTCAAAGCTGAGGCAGGGTGTTTCAAAGATGGTGGCTGCTTAAGGAAAACAGTGGTATTGGGTTCTCCAAGTCCAGATCCATCTATTTCCCTCTCATGCTCAACTGTCCTTTGGCCTTTCATTTGGACTGAAACTTGAAAAATGGAAAAATCAACCCCTGATGGGTTGGCTGCTACACAGCGGTAATGACCTTGATCTTTTGGTGTAACCTGTAACATCCTTAAGGTCCCATTGTTAAGAATTTGCCTGTCTCTTGAAGACTGAGAGAACATAGTGTTCCCTGGAAGAATCCAGCTAATAGAAGCATCTGGAATACCAGTGGAAGGGCATGGCAGATCGAGCGTCTCACCTGTAACCACTGTATGCTGAACGCTATTTTCATGCTTGCTTTCTACATAGGGCTCTACCACAATTATCCTGTACGTGAGAATATCTGCATCCGCATCATTGGTGCTTATACAATGATAAAGACCTGTATCAAAGCTATCAGCCATCTGGAGTTCCAACTTCCCATTTTTGTCTACTAGGATCCGCCCATCCTCACTGACATAAGGAGCTCTCACTTTACTCCCATCAGCTAGAAGCCATTCCAAGTGAGGTGAAGGGTCACCTTTGCCTGGACAGTCCAGGGCAATAGTGCCACCAGCCAAAACAGTATGTTCCAGTTTGGTATTGTTCATCATCAGAATCATGGCCCATTTGAGTTTCACCAGTCTCATCTCTGCCTTTGGTAAAGTGATTTGAGCATCAGTGGAAAATTGGATCTGTAATGTGTTAAGTGTGGTAGCATTTCTGTTCAGCTGCAAGAAAATTTTTTCTTGTTGGAACCAAAAAGGATCTGCTCTGAAATCAGCCTCTATGTTGGTAAAAATGTCTTCAGGTCTAAGAGCCACCTGCTTATATTTGGAAGACACCAGTGTCATCTCAGTATGCTGGGACTTCCTTTCCAATATTAGAGGAGAGTCACTGTACAAAGCTAGAAGTTGCCACAGTGGCTGGATGTGATTATAATCTACACTGCATACAAGATTTGTTGAAAATGACATATTTAGGATGATGTGATCATTTTCCTCAGTGAATGCAATTGGCAATGTCCTAGATGGCTTTTGGATACTACAGATCATATTGGCCTTATTTCCAGACAGGTCTGTCATGTTCAAAGACAAGGAGCCAAAAGGTTCTATGAAATCTTGAGGTGAAATGGAGGCAGATCCATTGTCCTCCTGAATAGCCAGACTCTTTGACTTCAGTGATGGATCAATGGTTGGCTTTGTACATAGGAAAGCTCCAGGTGGTACCATAGCAATGGGGCTGCCTTTAGAGATCCTGGGGTTCATGCAAAGGGGACATTGCTGAGGACTGGAGGAGCTTCTGTCCTTCTTGCATTTTATTATACCTAGGAAAGAAATCATAGTTATTTTCAAAAGTTGTGGTCTCTTTATAAATTAGTACATGAACACTTTAAAGAAGTATTTTCACTAGGACTCAAACAGCAATTTTGAAAATTTAGTATGTAATGACTGAGTTACTATATTTTATGAATCTGAAATGATTTCTAAAAATATATACCCCACACACATCATGCTACAAAATAGTAGCACAGGTATGGGAGTTTTATCTGCCTTATTTACAACTGCGTTTATTATGCCCAGAAAGTTCCTCATGCCAAGGTTTTAGGACTGTTGTAGACCTTCCTCTACCATAGTTTAAAAGGTAACCCTTTTAAACTTATAAATCTCTAAGACCTGGAATACCAGTAAAAAAATCCAAGCATTTTTCCATTATCCAATCGACCAGCTTGTGTTCTAGCCTAGTAGAAAGAGGGATGGAGAAATGCAGACAGAGACAGGAGATAAAGATGTAGATGGAGCCAGGCAATAAGATGTAAGTATTGACAGTATGTGGAATGCAGTTGAAGTGGACAGCCAAAGGTTGTTTAGTGATGGTCCTGTTAGGTGAGGGATTCTCATTAGTGGAGAACCAAGTTTAGTTGAGGAGGGGGGAAACTGTGTTCAGTAATGTCAGAGTTTGCAAATAATATACTACTAGTCACAAAGGTGCCCTGTTTGAGCACTGAGATGACATATACTTGGGCATTTTAAATAGTGCTCCAATGAACCTATTTTTAAAAGCTGGTCATTCAGTGCTAAACAAAAGATATGGAATTTTTCTCTGAACCAAAAACTACAGTCACATAGTCTGAGACTTCTGTGCTGTCCCATACACATACTAGTTCCTATACCGTTTGCTGAACACAGCAGGCAAGACAAACACTAGCTGTCTTAGATGTCATTCATGAGAACAGCCTCACACATGTGTGGTTTCCTTGTAAAGGTCCAAGCGAAACACTCTAAACCCTTTAGGTGTGTTTCGGTCCTCTCATCTGAAGTCAACCATGGTCTGAAAATATGAGCTGGTGAAAGTTCTCCAAACAAACCTAAGTTTGAAATTGCATGCAGTGCTGAGTAGCCTGATGAAATCTCATGTTATCTCACTTGGTCCCACTCCCCCACCACAGGACACAATCATTCTTTCCAGTGAATGTACACAGAATATGCTCCATGCTCAATAGTGTCTAAGTAGCAACCTCAAGCATCTTATAAACTCATGGTATCATACTGCGTATGTTCAAGGAATCCCTCTTTTATTAATCATACCCTCAGACACAAGAGTGCTGATGCAGGCAATTAGGTATGCTGGAGGGAAGCTATGGGCATGGTTCTAAAGAAACTTCTTGATTTAAGGAAAGAAAAAAAAAAACAACATGTTGCAAATACCTGTTGGAATTACAGGATTTGTAGTGAAAATGTAGCTGTAAAATTAGGAAGAATGGAAAAGAAACTTGAACTTTAAACTTCAAAAGTTAGGTCCATAGTGTTCAGAGATAAACACAGTATTGTTTGGTACTACTTATGGTTTTCTGCATCCACTGTAAGTCCTAGAAAGTATCCTTCATGGATGAAGGAACAATACTCTACTTTTGTGTGCCACATAATATCACAGTCATTATTCAACAAATTTGATAAAAATAAAATTGTGCAGTGGAGGTTGGTAGAATGAAAAGCCTTGAACTACCACAAGGAACTTCTTCCAATGCCATCTGCCACTTACTGACAAGCTGTGTACATTACCTGCTTATCACTGCCCTGAGTCTGACCTCATGAAGCAGAGAACATAGCCAACTTCTGGCCAAGTTAACTCTCATCACAGAATTATGCTCATATCTCAGGATGCTGATGGCTGCTTGTACCTGGACCAGAGCTTTCGGGCCTCATGCTTGCTCAGATGCACATCCCACTGAGTCACTTCATCCGCCTCACACCAGTTTCCAGTCTCATACAAGTGCTTTCCATCTCCCGGACTGTCATTCTATCGCAAGCCAATGATGTGAGCTGTCTGTCTACCATGCCTAGTGCCATTGTCCATTACACACGTCTCAAGGGCTCAGCCTGATCGGCACATATGACCAACTGGCCACTTGCTTTAACTCTCCTGGTGCCCTCTGCTTTCCTCTCGTAACCTGTGCTCACCATTGGAATATCTTGTTTGGGTGGTTGCCTTCTCACAGAACAGTAAGCTCAGTTGGCTGATCTGTATGTCAGATCCCTGGCCAGGGGATGCCCAAGAAAGATGCAGCTCAAAAGGAAGAAGGAAAGAAGGGAGGAGTGGGCAAGGATAAAAGGATGAAGGATAGAAGAAATATCAGGAAGATAGGCAGCTGGCAGGACTTCAATTCTGTCACACATATTTATTAACTTTGCTACTGGAGATGGTTTTATGAATACTACACTACGATTTGGCATTGAAAAGGTATTATATACATAGACATACATAAGCGTCGAGCAGTAAAACTCAAGTTTTATATCCGTGAACAATGCATGCCGGGAAAAATGGCAAAAGCCTATATTTATACAAAAGCAACATCCAAAAACCCAAGAATGAAAGACGCAAGTACATATGGGTAAATAACATTGCACTGCAGCAAGCATCAGAGAAACAGCCATATCTTGCCTGTGAGAGGCTTTCAAATTGCTTAGGGTATATGAAAAAATTTTAAGAATAAGGGTGAGTTGAAATTATTAGTAAGCCAATACAAGCACAAGAGGACCTGTCATTTAGACTGAAAGAATTTAGCCCTAACAGGTTTGTCTGTATTTGATGTGTGTGTGTGTGTGCACGCACACACATGCACACATAGCTATATGGCAGATATGTACATTGTATATTGGCATATGATATACATACATTTTAATATATTTTCATATACACATGTTTGAGACATATTAGAACCATGAATAACTAATGGATAGATGGTGAACTTATTTCTTTTTACCATCTCAATGGCTATATGATAACAGTTTAACAAAAAATACTAAGTACATACTGTGTCCCAGATATACTGCAGAGGTTAGGGATAGATAAATCAGACATAGCAGAAGGCATTTCATTCTATGAATTAAGTCTGGTATAATGTTCATTCAGGAAAGGAAGCACAGCCTACAGGAGCGGTGAGGTCATGATTCTCATGCGGATGCACAGATGAGCAGTGTGACTCCCTTGTGGTGGTAATGCTGAGCAGAGCTGCCATCCCAGAGCACGTAAAGCAGAGAAGGAAGGGAAGAGCTATAGGCAGAGGCAACAGCAGGTTCCGAGCTGAAACAGATGTAGTGTGTCAGGATCTGAAACACAAACTGCCTGCCTGAGAAGGGGAGGGGCTGAGTGATTTAAGAGAGGCTGAGGACAGGCCTGGGCCATACTGGAGGACCTGATAGTTGGGCCAAGAACCATGGGCTTGATTCTGTAAGCCACAGACGAGCAAAGCTTTCACACAGAATGCCACGTAGTAAAGTTTCTCAGCCTCACAGCTTCCCATTATCCCACTGTGGCACAAACACAGCTGTGGATGGATACAGAGTTCATTGTCACTGGTCATTCTGGGGACTTCGTTTTCTGCATCTACATTATCTAGGACTTCCCGTTACTGATAAAGCTCTCCCCGCTGACTCCTCTTTTTAATTAGTACTAAGAAACAAACAAGATAGATACCTGGGTTTCCCTGTATCCACTCAGACAACCACTTTAAACGGCAGTCACAGGTCCATGGGTTTCCATGCAGATAGAGGCTTTCTAGGTTTGGCATATAGGAGACCATTTCTTTTGGGAGGGAGGTCAGGAAGTTATCAGACAAATATAGGTACTTAATGAAAGAGGTTTTAAATATCTGGAGATAGCTCAATGAGACAAATGTGTCTGGATGGAGCTTTGTGAGCCGGTTTCCTTCTAAATGTACCAAGCGGAGCAAGGTGAGTCCGTAAAAAGCCGCAGGGTTGATAAACTCGATGTTGTTGTGATCCATGTGCAACCTGGTCAAGCTCCGGAGTCCATAAAAAGTATCCTTCTGAATGATTTGAACTTTGTTATAGCTCATTTTTAAGACCTGTAAATAAAGATATGGACATATTTGTTTTCTCAAAGGAACGTTCACAAAGACAGAAAAGTTTATAAACATAGAAATATGTTGAGATTAATCCTACGGACTGTGCATACCTTAATGACAACTCAATTCAAACAAATTAGTTGCCAATTAAATGTGACAACATTAGAGAAATCAGAACCCACAAGAGCAGTTGTAAATACTAAGAACGTATCGCTAAAGGGCCATAGATATGTCATGGTTACTTTAGAAGTCTCTTTAACCTTTAATTCTGTATAAGAGTAACCATCAGGACCCGGATTGGACTCGAACAGCTAAGTGGACTGAGATGTACAGGGTGCAGTGTGACAGGATCTGTCACAAGGATCACTCTTGAGGCTGGGTGACAAGTGCACAGGAATGGTTTTATTGTTCGTTATTATTTAGAGTACAAAGTAATGTGGTGCACTGTGCAATTTCTGTTCACATTTTTCTCACTCGCTTCCCTCTCACGTCCTCCTGTGTGGCTCCACCCCCAGCTGCTTCCCTTCCTTCTCCCAGATTGCTTTACTAAGCTGATTACACTCCTCTGCCTACCCTTCTTTCTGTATAGTGAAAAGTATTCATAATAATAATAATAATAATAATAACTTAAAAGCAATTTAAATAAATTTAAAATTTACGAGTCTATCGATGGACTTCAATTTCCCCCATTTTAATATCTCTGTTGAATTATAATTCACATGCAAAAAATTTTTGTTTTTAAATTTTCGTGGCTTTAGTTAGCAAACAAAATAAAGAGTTTCATTATGGCATCTCCACACACACTGATCATACACTTTGCCTCCCATTAGTTTCTATTGTCTCCCTCTCACTCCTGTTGGTTATGATCCTTCCCTTAATGGTTCCTGCTTGTAGGTCAATACATTAACATATCTGGGTTCCACCCATGAGAGAAGCCATGGTATTTGACTTTCCTTTCTATCATCTCATTTCACTTCCTCCTGCCCCTTTGTTAGGCCCTTCTCAGAGCACAGCATGCTGGTTTTAAGAATATACACAGGGATATAACTACATCTACTGCAACTATTTCATCTTACAAAATAGTCTTTTTCCCAAATTAAAACCAATCTGTATCAATAATTTTTTTAGTTTTTCCTTACTCTAAGCAACATCTTACTTTCAGTTTTCTAAGGATTCAAGTATTTTAAACATTTCATATAAATGTAACCACACAATATGTGGCTTTTTGTGCCTGGCTTCCATCACGTACGTAGCCAAATGTTTTCAAGATGTTGTTAGCACACATCACGCCTTCATTTCTTTCCGTTTCTACATAGTATGCATGTTATGTGGTTTATCCACTCCTCCACTGGCGCACATCTGGCATGCTGTCTTTTTCAGTAATATGAATTTAATTGATTCCAAATTGGAAGCCAAAAAATTTTAAATTTTTCATGACACTTTAGTATTCATCAAATCCCTTTCTGATTAGTTTCTAATCCGTTTTTAAATTAGTTCAAAACATACTTTTTTTTTAAAAAAAGAAAAGAACAGGAAATGCTAATAAAAAATAACTTTGTACATATTTTTCTGATTTGATCTAAATTGTAATCTCTTCCAAAGAGGCTTTTCTGGATTGCCAACATCCCTAATAAATAAAAGCCAAACTGAGAACATAGGACAGCATTTCCCTACATATACCTGGGAATAAAACCTCAAACCCAATGTTTCTCCGTCAGAAAAAAACCTGGCTAAGGCAATAAACATAGATAGAGAATTTCATGCAGGATACATGAACAATTCCTTCTGAAGATACATGTTCCAAATGGTATCCGATCTACCTAAATCAGCATTATCACATTCAGACACTGCACGGTATGCACCCTATGTTAAAACACCAGACATAACTCTGGTTTGATCTTTAAAGACTCAGTGAACAGTGAGCATTATTGCTTTGATTGCTATTATATGCTGCACGGGAATCATGATGAATATTATGGGACATATGTACTTTATTGTGCTTTTCACGAACAGCAGCATTGTTTACTTAGAGTTGAATAGTTACCATGTAGCGTAAATCAGCTTCTCCAAACTGTCAAGGTTATAAGCAGAGAAAGGGCTCCCTGTGCGGTCTCTTTAGCTCTCTTCATTCTTATTGCTAGCCTTGTCTAATCCTTTCGTTTCCCACTTAGGTGTGTGATAACTCTTACAACATTTTCTTCATTTGTGAGAATATTTGTAATTTCAGTTTGAAGATGGTAGAGGATAAACAAGTAAAGAAAACTGAAAATTTGTAATGGTTTAGAAAATGCTACCATGTTA